ACTCAGAGAACCTTTTGGTTTGAGCGATTTTGTTTCAAAGGTGTGTTTCAAACTTTCAAATTGTTTGAGGATTGAATGAAAACAGTGGGAAGGGAAGAGGGGTCCCTAAAACGTTGCTGTTGTGAATGTTGAATCTAAATGAAACGTGTCGGTTTTATGATTTAATTTGTGAAAGTTAGGGGAGGGGGCCTAATTGTATTATGGCAGTCGACGACGTCGTTTCCAAAGAAGAAGAATTGTGCATGCACTTTTAAGTTGTTCTAACGCTTGGAGGTAAAAGATTAAGGAAAGTTGATGCAGGGCCGGCCCAACAATATTTGAGGCCCTATGCAAAAATTTTAGAGGGCCCTAAATAATTATTTATTTTGGAAAAATTGTAAAAAAGCATACCATTTTATATTTATATGTGTAAAAGTATTTCAATGTAAAATATATGTGTATAACTACTTTTATGTGTAAATGTTTAGTGAAAAAAATACAATTTTGCTTAATTATAATTTTTTCTCTTACAAAATTGTCTTTTTCTTTTATTAATAAGAGACAAATATGACAATTATATTAAGAATTCAGTTTCCTAATTTTATACTATATATTTTTTGAATTTTAAATTATATCTTTCTATTTCATTCAATTGAAGTTATTCAAACATTCATGTTTTCCCTACATTTGTATAATTTATTTATTTTTTATTTTTTTATAAATCATAATGAAGAATATATGTTTTCACCTTATATAATACCCTTGGTTGTTATGAGTGTTTTTTTTTATGAATATTTTAAATTTAAATTTATATGTATGTTATTTAATGTGTTTATAAGTAACAATGATACATGTCACATTGTCACTATAGTACAAGTCAATGTCATAGTGCTATAAGTCAATATTACACTGATATAAGTCAATATCACACTAATACCAGTTTATGTCACACTGCTACAAACCAATGTCATACTGTATACATTGACGGGACACATAACACAATGCACAGGTAAGATCTATTGTGAGAATGAACTTGTATTAGAATTGTGAGAAGGTGGTGATAATAGGTAAGGTCTATTGTGATAATGCAATTGTATATAGCCTCTTTAGTTTTTTTTAACAAATAATCGAACATTTGGTATGCATGTAGTACCAAACACCGAAAACAGAAAGATAATTGAGGGAAAAAAAGTAGATAAAATAAAAATTTTGGGAAGTAATAACGTTTTTTCTTAAATTATCAACTTCTTTTCCATAAAATTTCAATAATCTCAACCGTCGTTCTTCACCACAATATAAGTCTTCTTCTTCAGCGATGAAGTTCGGTGTAGTCGTCCCCGTTTGTTATAGAGATTTTCACTTATTCACAATGAACCCATCAAAATACCCATAACTTATTCACGGTGATTTTTACTTCTTATTCAGTGATCAACAGGACGTTTTGAAAAGAATAGAAGTTTTAGAGAAGTTTTCTCATCAATCTTTAAAGAATGGAAGTTTTCTAGCAATATTGAAAGAGTTTATGTGTATCAATTGATATCTCTGATGTTTCGGCTGTAGAGGCAAATATTTAAAAATTTGTTCCCTTCTACAAAAAGGGGTAGTTTAGACATTTGCCATGTATCATGTACTTTTTAACTGATATTTTTAAATGTGATACTTTTTTTTCTCTATTTTCAAAAAAAGGCACCGGCCACCTGAAATCCCTATTTATTTTTGTTGTTAAATTTTAAATATTCAAATTCATATCTCTTAGTAAGTATAATTAACAAAAAAAAATAAATTATAAAATAAATACATTATGTAGACGATTTTATTAAAGTCAAAATTCTTTTGAAGATTATAATTCAAGAAAAATAACACTGAATAATAGACTAGAGTCATTGATAATTCAGATATAATAAGAGACTAGAGTTATGTAATTTTTTATAAAAGAGTACGGTTCGATTTTTCTTCTTAATGTACATATTTATAATTCAAAGAAAAAAAATTTTGATTGTTTAACTTACCATCTAAATTTTGTTTGTATTTTAAAATTTAATCGTATAATTTTTGCAAAACATACACAAATGGAGGCCTTAGGCGACTGACCTAAGGTGGTGGCATCCCTGAGTAGACTTATCTCCTTGATAGTAGAAGTGATTTCGCACAATACACCGAATTTGTAACCTCAATCCCAATTTAACACCTAGATTTGCATGGGTGGCACATTGACGAGGACTAAACTAGATCACCGGTGGATGCTAGTCTACTTCGGAGTGATATCAAGTGTTCATCAAAGTTAAAATATACTCGGTGACTTTTGAGTCCGATAATCAAACAGACTACATATGTATCACTTACGTCTCTCCAACTGCATATCTATAATATAAAATATAACACACTACTTTAATAAATCAATCTTGATAATTTAAAATAAACTTATTTAACAACCACCAACAACTTTCGAATCCTTAACATTTTTCAACAAAAATTATAAATTTGTTTTTTGTCTTAGTTTAGCAATATACCCATCCAGAAAGAATATTCTCTAATTTGAGCCCCTTTTTTTTGTCTATGAAAAGTGACAACAAAATTCAAACTAGCAACTTTAAAGACCAACCAAAAAAAAAAAAAACCCAGTACCTTTGTGATTTGGTAAGTTCTAATCAGATCAAAGCCTAATACTAAGAACGCAAAGGAGCTATCATTCTCTGTGTTCAAACACTCAAATGTGTATTCACCTTTTCTGAGCTAGAAAAACACCAATATGAGGGAACAGAAAGAAACTCCAGGGAAATAAAGGAATACCTCAACTCCCCCCTCATGCCAAACCATACGGCCTGAAAGTCATTTCCCAGGCATCCTGTAGACTATGATCTCCAACTTAATCGCACACTTCATGCAACAGAGTATGAATCGGGCAGTATACATCAAATTTGAGTTAGAAATGTCCCAAACAATACCAGAGTGGAGTACAGATCGATGATTCACAATGGTAAAAGCGACTAAAAGAGCATAAAAGAAACTCAAAGCGGCTGACTTTAAAGATTCCACACTATTTATACCCAGATCCTACTGTAAAACCAAGTCAAATTCAAATGTGCCATAATTTCTGCATTGCTTGCACTACCATGTTGCGAAGTTAATCCTCACCATATATTCAACCATGCTATAAGCAGATTAAAGGTAATGCACTTGTGATGAAAAGTCAATAAAGATACTGAAAGCAGTTTCTAAGAAAGGATTAAAACATGAGAATGCACGACCACATGAACTCTCATGCAAAAGTTTCTCTAAATGACCAGAGAAACAAATTTCTTTAACCCTAGCATCGTGAGAAATGGTATACACAATGAACTCTCCCAAGAAACAAGTTTTTCCCACTGGGATGGAATCCTAGGATTTACATACAATGAACGACAACAATTCATTTATACTCATCCCTATGCAACAAAAATTAATGCCAAAGTTCAATGTTTAATATGGATGCTGAATATTCTACATACAATGCCCATGTTCTCCGAAAGAAAGAAAGAACTATACTATATAGCAACATGTATGACTAAATGCTCAACATAGAAGATACACACATGCAAAGAGAAATTAGGAAGCTATATCCAAGGATAGCAAAGATTCAAGTAAATGTTTCCAGCATCCATAAGGACAAAGTTACCAAAAATGTGCAGGAAACTAAACCATCAGAATGCAGCAAGTTCTACACAAATATTATTTCATACCAGGCTTTGGCACTGCATAACCTAACTAAAAATGTTTTACAACTTGAAGTAGTAGAACTTTAAGAAGACCATGTCCTATGCTACAAATATAGATGCCAACATTCAGTAGTTAAGCTGAATGCTAAAAGTTTTGCATAAAAATGTGCTCCAAAAACAGAAATATACCCATATACCAAAGACATTATAGCTTCATGCTCAACTTAGAAGATACCTACATGCAAACAGAAATTCAGTACCCATATCCGAGGGCAGTAGACATATGAAGTAAATTTCCAAACTCTTTATAATTTGTTGACACCTGATTTGTGCACAAAGAATATATTCAGAATAATACAACAATGACATAGTTATTGAAAAAATCTAATACCTATGACCAAGTTACCAAAAATATGCACTGAATTTACTCATCAGAATGCCAGAGGTCACACGCATAGCTTTGGCATGATATAACGAAGTCAAAAATGGCATAAAACTTGAAATATCAAAGTATATTCATATATCATGTCTTATGCTACAGATACAGATGTGATCATTCAGAGTTTAACCTGAATGCTTAAGATTTTGCATGCAAATGTTGAAGTACTCCAAAAACAGAAGTATATCATAGGGCAAAGACATATATAAGCTAAATGCACAACTTAGAAGATACCTACATGCAAAAAGAGATATAGCACCTATATCTAATGCGAGTGGACAGATGGAGTAAATGATTTAGATTCCAAATTCTTTTACATTTTGTCCGCAGCTGGTTAGTGCAGGAAGAATATACCCCATAACGACACATTAATGACCTAAATTACTAACAAAAATCTAACCATAACTCAGTTACTAAAAATGTGCGTGCCGCTAAACCATCAGAATGCCCGAAAATTCTACACAAAACCTATGATGTCATACAAGGCAACATAGTTAAAAATGGCATGCAACTTGCAATAGTAAACCATGATATTTACATCACGTCCTTGCAGAATGCAACCCACTTTACATGTGCAATAAATTGTTCTTCTCATAAACCTTGTTAAGATAGCTGACACCGCCAATTTCTTCAACATCAACATCAACCTCCACTAAAACCTACCATGACAACTCACTTCTACGACCAAAAGGGTTCATCTGCTAATGCTCCTAACTATAATATGTAAAAGCGCACACAATTTTGGAAAGCCCACAAAACAACCATTCCAGTAACAAAAACATATGAAATCCAAATCTCCTAAACTTCCATATATCCATCAACAACCCACAAAAAACACATCAATATATATATATATATATATATATATAGATAGATATATCTATAACACAAAAAAAAAATACTGCATTTGAACATAGAATAACAAACACAGGAAGTCATAAATTTTCTGAGTAGCATTGCATGAGATAATCTCCAATTTTTTTTACAACAAGCCAGGGGTTGATGGGTAAGAAGATCAGAGATCAAGAGGATCTAAACCTAACGACAGACGATCCTCTTTCCGTTTACAATGAATAACATGACTTCAACAACAGACTCATTAATCCAAAAGACCATAGATAGTTGAAATCCCCAGATTGGCATAGCAAGATCATATCACAACCTCTAACCATAACATTAAAAAGGAATTCTTTTCAAACAGACTCATAAAAGACAGCCGACTGTTCGATCTTTATCATCTTGGTTTTAATCCTGTCTATGATTTCTCTTTTTTTTTTTGGGTTTTTTCTCCGCATAAAAAGAGAACAAAAAATATTAAAAGATTGATAAAATGGTTTGGATTGATAGGATCGACCGTCACAGACAAAGATTTGTGCAGTGAAGATCATCGCCCACAGAGTCAACATCAAGCGACGGAGGTAAGTTTAGATCGAAAGGCAAGGGTTTCCGAACCGATGACGAAGCAATATCTCCGTCTCCATCATCAACCACCGACGAGGACGAGTCACAATCGCTGTGGCAATCGTCTGGCAGCAAAGGCGGCGACCGAGGGTATCTCCGGGACGGTATCACAACCGGCTGAGTCTGCCTGGGGCCACTGAACGACTCAACTGTACTACTCAAACTGCTAGTGGTGGGCCTCTGGGCGACGATCGGGTGCTCTGGAGGGTAATTCTGAGAGAACAAACGGTGATCGACGAAGGGATCGTTAGGGTTTTGATGAAACTGAGGGTAGGGATTCAAAGGAGTGGTTATGGGGAAGTTGGTCTTGGCCTTGGGACCTCGAAGCGAACGAGCAGCTGCGTCGTAGGCTCGAGCAGCGTCCTCCGCCGAGTCAAAAGTCCCCAACCAAACCCTAGCTTTTTTCCATGGGTCTCTGATCTCTGCTGCAAATCTTCCCCATGGTCTCTTTCTCACTCCTCGGAACCTAATCTCTTTCGATCCTCCAGATCCGTTAGCTTCTCCGGCCCCAACCATGGTCTGTTGCTCAACCGCCGCCACCTTGGCCGCTCTGACTCTCCGCATGGCCGGAGTTTGAAGATCTAAAAAAAAGTTTTGTATACAGGAAACAAGAGAGAGAGAGAGAATAGATGTAAACAATTCAGTAAATGTAATATCTAAAGAACAATGACCCCAATACCACCAGAGAAGATAATCTCACTTTCTCTCTCTAACGCTTTCTTTTTTCCTCTCTCTACTGTGGATGTGAAGAGAGGAAAGAGAGACGAGGGTTTTCTCTCTCCTCTCTCTGTCTCACTTTTTTTCTTCCTCTTGGTTTTGGGGTTTGCTTTCTCGATTTCTCTACCGTGTCTCGCCCCCACAAACCGACTCGACTCAATTGTACTACCTTCTTTCTCCCCCATGCTTTACCCTTTATTTATTTCTGATTTTTCTATTGGAATAATTAGATGATCGATATTACTAAAACACCCTTGTGATTTCCTCAATTTCCTTTTTTACCTATTTATTGTTGGGACTCTAACTAGGTATTCAAGTCTATTCCCGGCAACTCCATCAAACTCGAACATATTAGTCACTGTATAGTTGGAACTAATTCATAACATATTTTTTGAAAAATAAGAGTGATTAGTCTTTAAAAGAGATAAAAAGTGTTAAATTTTAAATTTTAAATTATTAAAAGACAAATTAATTCTTCGTCGCTCTAATAACTTTCTGGTTATGTCACTTTTTATACTTCATTTTTTACATAACTGGAGATGGTAAAATTGCGCAGAGAATATATTGGTTGATCCGATAGGCGTAACTTCTGAATGCTTATGTGTATATAAGATTTAAGTTGTAATTAAATGCCTAAAATTACATAAATAGACAATGCTCAATTATAAGAAAAAAAAAATCGTAATATGAACCATTAGGGTCCGTGCTATAACTTATTGTCCAAATGGGGTATTATTCTTATTATAGTATTGAAAATGATCGATCGATCGAGCATACAAGCGGATAATAGTTGGGAAAATTTCTTTAAGGAGCTAACGTTTAAGTGTAAACTGTGGTTAAAAAGAGCAAGTACTAGAAAAATCAGAATATTTCGTGAAAATATGTGAACAAAATAGTCAATAATATACTACTAGTAAAATGTTACGTAAAATTTCACTATTATGTAATTGCATCTTGCATGATCGACATACTGTGTTTACGTTTAAAAAGAATTAGGCTCTTATGTTGATTATCTATTGGGTTTTAATAAATCTTTTATTTTTATCTCTAATCGTTACAGGCACACCTTATTTTTCGATTTTAACGGTAATGAATGTCTGCATCAGTTTACACTCATTTTAACTAATCTCCTCTTCAGATAAGTTAAATACAAAGTCATTCACATTATGATTAGAGTATTATTCATGAGAAATAAATTTTTTATAGTCTATTTCTAAAGGATTGTCAATATTCAAACTCAGGACGTCTGAATTTATAATTTGATTCTATTACTACTTTAAATATCTTTCTTGAGTCTGCAAAAGAATTTTTACCATCTTCAATTCCTACATAAGTTCTCCTCTCTATTTTCTACTTCATTTTTAGGTTATATAACAAATG